AAAATCCCATTGGATCAAGCACTATTAATAATCAGAAAAATAATATTTTCAGTAAGTGAAGAGAGAGCATCTTGGTATGTAGAGGCACACTGAGCAGCCTTACTTTCAGAGAATTCACAAGAAAAAAGGCAGCCAGAAATCAATCTATGTTGTTGACTATTCTAGAGTTAGCAGAAATTCTCATGTGAGGTTTGGCTGTTGTCACCTGGCTTGGTCTTTGCTGGTAGCAGTTAATAATAAAAACCAAAATCTTGAGCATTGACAGTGTCCCAGGCACTGGTGCTGACTTCTCATAGCGCCATCTCCTCGGCCCTCATTACAGCTCTTTGCAGGGCCCACTGTTATTCCTGTGGCAGTGGCCGCTCCTGTCCCTACATGGAGGCCTGTGTCCATAGGGGTGAATCCCCCATGTCCTTTAGCAGTGTGCCCTCGTGACGACGGTTTCATGAGCATCTTCTGCCCCACTAATTTTCATTTAATCCCCTGCCCTGCCGCACGTTGTAACCTAGCACACCCCTGCTGACAGGCCCTCTGTAAGCCTTCATCTGAGTGACGGCCCTGAAAAATCAAGCTGTGGTCTCGAAAGGGAAGGAGGATCTGCAGATTATCTCCTCAGCATGTGCAGTCATTCTGCTGGCAGCTCTCAGGGCCTCTTTTATGTTGCTTCAACAAAGAGAGAGGCTGCCAAGAGTGTGTTATGCTCCGTTCAGAACTCTCCAGGCTGGCAGTGGCTGGGACAGTAGAGGCATGGCAGATGGAACAATTTCCATCTCAGCCAGGGCCCTCTCCTTTTACTTTTGCCTGCCTTCTTTGTTTTGAGAATTCTTCCTATGATTCTATATAGACCCCAGGAAGTGTCAGAGGAGGAAGAAGGGGAGGAGAAAAGGAGGTTACACAGCAAGCTGGATAGGGGTCAGATCATTTGGCCAGCAGGCAGTTTCTTCCACAAATCATTTAACCCTGGTAGCCATTATCATCCCAATTGCTCCCTATTAGCTAACCCAGACTCTTAAAGCCCTGAGTATAAGAGAAATAGAATTCTGTTTTCTTTTTCTCATTCTTTAAATACCACTTATGCCATGTTTAGAAAGCATACTGTAGTTTACAAAGCTTATTGATATGGACCATTGTTTCTCACACCATTTCTTTGTGATTATATGTGTGTATGTGTGTGTGTATACATATATATGTCATCATAATCTGACCTTTTTTTTTTCAGTTGAAGTAACATTGTACAATTCCGTTATGTAACTTGCAGGTGTTCACACTGAGACTGAACGTGTGTACATACTACATTCAGTCACTACTAGGAGCCCAAGTCTGCCTTTCACCCTATTATCGTCCCCTTTATCGTGATGCCTCTTTCTTCCCTTATGGTAACACTAATCGGCTTTAATAATCCAAAAGTTTACTTTTGTTATATTTAATATGCTTATTGTTTTCTTTATGTGCCACATATGAATGAACCATATGGTTCTTGGTATTTTCTGTAACCTGATGTTATTAATAAGAAAACAAAGAAACCCACCATTATCTATTAGTAAAAGAGACAACAAGACGATCTCAAAGATAACTCAGCTAGGTAAGGTAGGAGCCAGGCATATAAAAACAGGCTTTAAATCAATTGATTTAAAGTTCTGTGCCTTACCTTTATAATAGCTTCCAGATACTTGCACTGCTTCCTGTAGGCTGTCATCTAGTTGGGGAGGCTGAGGAGTGAGCAAGGAAACCTTGTCCCTGCTGTCAGGGACACAGGAAAAACCTGAACTTGTGTGACGTCTGTCTCTAAAGGTCTTGCACCATTTGCTTACTTCATATTAATATCTTAGCAACCAACTAGTGATCATATTCACTTAAAAGTAATTGCAATGAAATCCAAAAGCTGTGAGAGGGGGAAAAACTCAATGCAGAGGGATACCTGTGGGAGAAAGTGCCTACGGGTAATGTGGCCGGCAAGTTGTCCTTCCCCAGCTCTGGCTCTGCTCACAGCTGGGGACTGGACTCATGTGTAGATTTTGACCCTCATTTTAGAAATACAGAAGCTGAGGAGAGAGTAAATGATTCATCTCCTCTCGTGATGCCTAAAAATTTGAAACCTGTACGTTTTCCCTATAGATAAAAGATGGGTTCTAGCTGGGATACTGGGGTCCCCCTTCTAGCTGGGATGCTGGTGATATCTGCAGCCCAGGGAAGTGACCAGATCCAATCCCCAGGAATATTATCAAATGAGTTTTATTTTTATTTTTTTTTTTAAGATTTACTTATTTATTCGTACAGAACTGGGGTACAGGCCAGAGATGCGGAGGGTGAGAGGATTCACCAGAGACAGAGCAGAGAGCAGAACAGGCAGATCGATGAAGTACACTGCTGAGGGGAGCAGCGGGGGGGTCAGGAGAGGTTGGCCACACCATGTGGAAACCTCCGGGGCAGGCGGGAATCGAACTCATGTGGAAGTGGTTTCAGCTTCTTAGTGCTGCACTTTAACCCGCTGCGTCACCAGGGAGGGCCCAAATGAGTTTTATTAAATGAGTTTCAAAGACACTCTCCATAACTTTTTAAGCCAAAGATTGTGCATTCATTATAGAAAAACACTTGAAGTACTGATAAGCAAAAAAAAAAAAAAAAAACTCTGAAATCCAATACCTGAACATACTGCTAATATGTAAATAATTTTTAATGCTGTATGTGTGTTAAATTGTGTCTGCACACATCCTGTTAATGTTTTCATTAAAATGTACTGTTTCACATCTAGCCCTATTGTAATGTTTTTTCCATGTCAGTAAACTACCTCGTGTTTTTTAATGGCACCATCATATTCCATTGTATAACATGCCATGATTTACTTAGTTATTTTTAAATTATTAAATACCTTAATCAAGCAGGAAAATATGTGGAAGAATTGGCATAGCATATTTAATCTCTGTTACCTGCAGAATTCCCTTTCCTAGAAGTATATGGTAATTTCAGCAACTAGTATTTGAATTGCCCTTCGAGTTTATAATGCACTTACACATGCATTGTTTCCCTTGACCTCATTATCACCCTCCAAAGTTGGTAGCAAGAGTCTGTTTTTCTTCACTAATAGATCAACTAAATAAAACCTCATCGAGGTAAATATATCCAGTACCCTAAGTCCAGTTCTATCAAAGCAGTGCTGACCCAGAAAGTAGCTCCCTCAAGGCAGGATGCCACAGCAGGCAGGCCAGAAAATGCATCAGGGAGCAGCCTCCACGGGCTCCGTGACCCCTCCCCACCTGCTTGGATTTTGGTTTCATGACTTAGGCCTCGCATGTGACCCTAACTGCTCTCTGAGGGCAAACACATGGCTTCATTTCTCTCTCCACCTAGTCTCGCTGCAAGGACCAGTACCCAATAAATACTCAGTTAATGTTTACTGGGTACATGAATACATGAATAAAGGGTGTCAGAGAGAACAAAGTAGATAGCAGAGGATGGGTTTGGACAGCTTTCTTTCTCAGTGCCTCTCTTTTCATTTCAAACATTGTCCAAACAAGAACCCATCTTGGTATTTGAGTTTATGTACTCATGCGGTTCTGATCACCACTGAGAAGTGCAAGGCATTGTTGCATTCAGGAAGAGTGTTCGGAACCAAAGGCAAGAAGAGACCTGTCTGCAGTGTAGATTCCAGGGCTCCCTCATTCCTGCTCCCCAACTGGGAGGAACCAAGCTTCCCTTAAAGCCACCTCCCAAGTTACTTTTATGATGTCCTCTATTTGGAACTGCTTCATATTTATGATGTATCTCATTTTGAACTGCTTGTAAAGATAATAGCTATTGCATAGTTTATGAGGGCTTGAAGAGCTATTACTGTGGACTGTAAAACAACATAGCTGAATTGCTGGAGATTTTGGAGTAAAAATCATTCATATTCCATCACCTAACAAAACAACTGTTTTATTTTTTGCCTTGCTCTCTCAAAGTCTTATCTGTGTGCACACATTCATTTTCTGGTTGTTGCCACAAGGAGCATGAAATATTGTTTCCGGATTTTTCCATTTAACATTATGGGAATCTCCC